CAGCCCAGGTGCTCCTGAGTGGAGTTACACCTGTCCAGAGCTGGGCTTTATAAGAACTGACAGGCTCCTCCGGCTTTTCACAGCACCTCGGAGACCCTGATTTTCTGTGTAAGTGTGCGCAGCCAGCAGGTTCAGTGATTTTGCACAAACTATGCAGAGGAAGGCACCCCCTCTTCATTTCCCGCTTATCAGCAGGCATTTACTATGAGCCAACTTTAGCGGTTGCTACAAAGCAGGGGTGGGGAACGTTGATCCTGGAGGGCCACTCTCCTGCAGAGTTTAGTTCCAACCCTGAAAAACCCTAGAAAAAAAAAACCTAAATGCATCCCGAAGACCTTGATTAGCTGGTTCAGGTGTTTTTGATTAGGGTTGGAGCTAAACTCTGCAGGGACACCGGCCCTCCAGGATCAACGTTCCGCACCCCTGGCTTACGCTGTACAACTATGTTATTTCCTTTATCCTCTTTGAAAACAAAATAACTGAAATTTCCAGACATGAAAAAGTTTTTCCCAGCAAGCATCGTAATTAATTCATCCCGCTTTGAGGAGAATAATTGTAGACGGGTGTTATTTGCGCACGCACCAGCAGGCGGCTCACATGAGTCACCATGTGTCAACAGAACCAGGAACTATAGCCCTGCATTTCAGCCCGGGCCCGACAGGCCCCGACTTTTTTACTTTTTTTAGGGCCGGGCTTCGGGCCACTTTTCACGTCATAGTTAAGACGCGGGCCGGGCCTCGGCCCTGTTTTAGGCTTCTCCTTATTTTTATAGTTTAGACATCCATCAATCAGTGATGAAAAAAAAATTGCCGCGCTGGTGGAAACAACACGAGACCGTGCTACTGTGACTGTCAAGAGTGGCTCGACGGTGTTTAGTGTCCCGGAGTGCGCACAAATAAAAGTAGACCCTTCACAGTTCCGAATGATGTATTACTCTTACCTTTATGAGCAAAAATGACGGCGTATCCACTGAAAAGTAATAGTTGAGACAGTACTATAAGTTGTTTTGGGAGAAGGGGAAAAAAGACGGGCACGGGCCGGTAATTCTGATAAGCTGTCGGACACGGGCCGGGCTAGGGACTATATTTGAGGCCCGTGCAGGGCTCTACCAGGAACTATGATGAAATAGCACTAAATATATAGCGTTATGTCAAAATACTAATTTATTTAATTTTAAATTAAACAAATGTAATCCTGATAGTATTCCCACTTTTTACAAAATGTAACTGTAATCTGAATACTTTGTTTTTTGATGTAACTGTAACGGATTACAGTTACTAGATTTTTGTATCCTGATTACGTAACGCCGTTACATGTATTCCGTT